GGACCATGATTAACCCTCAAGTTCAGCTTGATTGAGTACTTTTGGGGAAACTTTGCAAAGGAAAAGCCAAAAACTGTATTTCACTCAATCCTCCAGCTTCACCCCGTGAGCGGAGAGCCCTGGCGGACAGGAGTGCTGGAGACAGAAGGAAGAGTATCTCATCTCCCATTCCAGCCAAGCTCTGAAGTCCTCCTCTTTTTTTTTTTTTTAAACAGAGCCTGTCAATGTTTATTTTCCTATAAGTTAGGAAATGATAGGATTCTTTTTCTTGTTTAAAATTGAGATTATTAACATATAACATATAACATATATTAACATATAACATATATTAGTGTCAGGGATACAACGTAACGATTTGACATTTGTACATGTCTTGAAATGATCAGCGCAGTAAGTCTAGATTAACAGCCAACACTACACAGTACCTTTTTCCCTTGTGATAAAGCACATTATTTTTAATTTTTTAATTTTATATATTTTTAAAAAGATATAAAAAGATCTTTAAAGATCTTTAAAGATAAAATATTCTTAAAGATATAAAAAAGCTTTAAAGATTTAAAAGATATATTTGTTATTTATTTGTCAGAGAGAGAGAGAGAACATAAGCCGGGGGAGTGGTAGGCTGAGGGAGAAGCAGGCTCCCCGCTGAGCAGAGAGCCCGACACGGGGCTCGATCCCAGAACCCCAGGATCAGCACCCAAGCCAAGGCAGATGCTCAACGGACTGAGCCACCCAGGCATCCCAGTGTGATGAGCATTTTAAAGATGAGATCTACTCTCTTGGCAACTTTCAAATATACAATACAGCATCCTTAACTAGAGTCATAATGCCCCCCAGGTCCAGCCACATCGTGGCAGATGGCACCATCGCCTTCTTTGGATGGCGGCATGATCTTCCATGCTGCCCGTAGACCACATCTCCTGCCTGCACTTGTCCACTGTCGGACACTGGGGTCATTTCCATAAATGGCTATTGTGCACAATGCTGCAGAGAACGTAGAGGTGTTAGTGTTTTCGTTTTCTTCACGGAGATGCCCAGAAGTGGCATTACTGTCTTCTGTGGTAGCCACAACAATTTCTATCCCCACCCACAGTGCACGAGGGCCTCCTTTTCTCCACACTGTCCCTAACACGTGTTATTCTTTATTCTTCTCTTAAGATGGTCTCTTCCTCAGGTTCCTGCCTTTTATAATTATTTCTCCATCTCCCTGCCCTCTCCTCCCCCAGAGGCAAGAGTCCTTTGTTAATGTTCTAGCACAGATGAGATTATTATGGTCCATAGCCAACGACCGTGAACTGCAACCTTAGCATGTCCCCACTCATACAACACCTGAAGTGTCCCTCACCTTCAAGGTCACTTCCAATTCCAGCTTTGATATTTCTGGCAAAAAAAAGAGAAAAGAGTGCAAAGAAAATATCTTACTTATTAAAAATTGAATAACCTGGGAGAGCCTGGGTGGCTCAGTGGGTTTGCCTTCGGCTCAGGTCATGATCCCAGGGTCCTGGGATCGAGCCCCGCATCAGGCTCTCTGCTCAGCGGGGAGCCTGCTTCCTCCTCTCTCTCTGCCTGCCTCTCTGCCTACTTGTGATCTCTGTCAAATAAATAAATAAAATCTTTATTAAAAAAACAAATAAAAAATAAAAATTGGATAACCTGTTTCTCCATTGTGAATTTACTATCTTATCCGGTGTGACTAGTATCCTGTAAGGAAAAATTGCCTCTTCTCCCCTACTTATTTAGTCAAATGTGTATTTATGTCATTATGGATTCATGGGTATTGATTTTCTTTAATGGGTTACAATCCACTACTGTCACTACTTATTTTATTGTTCGAATAATAGGGGGTTGGAGTAGGAGGGAGAAGACTTCAAGAGAAATATAAAGGATACAGGACTAGCAGATAGAAAAGCAGCCACTGCCCTTGGGGCTGAAATACAGCACCCAAGGAGGAGTCTCCTTGTTGGAGAGAGTGTTGCTTGCTGGATGGCAAAGGAGTTCATGGAGCCACCATCTCTAGAGGGATCGTACAGTAGGGACAGGGGATACTTAGCTCAAGTGTTTAAGAGCCATCATGAGACCCTTCCACGCTCTCTCCTTTCCTGCCACATTGACCATGATGGTTACATATTCAAATATTAGAGTGTCATCCTGGGTTTTTGAGTGACATCGTGGATAAAGTCCCTGGACGATCCATGCTAGACATAAACCATGAGTCCTTGTCTATGTCTAACCTCTGTTGTAGTCATCGACTGATACTTGAGACTCATGTGTTATTGCAACATTGCCTGGTCAGTCTGTCTGGCCTCGTACAGTGATCCAAACTTTGAGGAACAATGAGGTACACGTTTTCCTTCATTATTCTTTTAGTCTTATAAAATCCTACATCTTAAATCTTTATAGTGTTTGCGTAGCAACGACACACAGAGGGTGTAGGACCTGCTTCTTGCAAATAGGAAGCAAAGAACTTACATCCAGTCTGTTACCATCTACAACTACAAGATCCCCCAAAGGAAGCAGAAGCTACTCAGAACTCAAAGAACAGGCACTAAGGGAACTCTTCTTCCCACGTAATCAAATGCCCATTCAACGACCAGGATGTTCTTAAGCATTCAGTGGAAATGGAAATTAAATCAAGGCCACTTCCCTGCTCCCATCCCTCCAATAGCTTCTCATCCCATTCAAAACAAAATTCCATTTCTTCCTAAGAAAAACAAAAAATTCCACTGGGGTCCTCCTTTTCTGATCTCTTTTCTATTTCATTTCTTCTGGCCCTCTGCCTGCTTTTTGCCACCAAGGCTCTTGGTCTTTTTGCTATTCTTCTGATGTACAAAATTTCTTTCCACCTCAGGGCATTTGTATTGGTCGTTTCCTTTGTGTGAAAAGCTCTCCTTGGGATTTTGGCAGTTTGCTTCCTGATTGCATTCAGGTCTCTGCTCACATGTCCCCTCCTCAGAGGAGCCTTTCTGACCCTCCTCTTTATTCTCTATCCCCTCACCCTGTTTAATTTTCCTTCACACCATGTATTGTTGGTATTATATGTTTGTATAATATTTATGTGCACTTGTTAATTACCCCCATTAGATTATTAGCTCTGTGAGACACAGCCTATATTCTACTTGTTCCTTGCTATATCCCTAGTGCCTCCAACAGTACCTAACACACAATCAGTTCTCAACAAATAGGGTTAAATGAATGAATGACTTTATGTCCCCATGTCCTGCATTGTCCTTGGACACACAAATCAGTAGCACCCCTGTGCAAGTAACTCCCAGTTTCCTATTTCTAGCCATATGTTCCAGATTTACAACTCCAACTTCCTGGGGTACATGTACGGATAAGGGTTCCACTGCCACCTCCAGGCCAACATGTCTCAAACCATCCAGGCCAGCTGCTACTTGTGACCCAGGCATCTGACCTCTGACCCTTTGCCTTCCTTTTCCTTCACCCTTCACATTCAATCTGCAGCAGCATCTCACTTCCATCCCTACCTTTTAATGGCCCTGGTCACTCCTTTGAAGAGTGCTCTTCTCACGGTCACCTAGTCACGGAGGTGGGAGGAATCAACAAGGTCTCTCAGTTGATGCTCCTGCCAGTGTCAGATTCCTTCTTCTAACCATTCTGACAACTGGTCATGCTTTGAACTTTGGATTTGAATACTTTTGGTGACACCAGTAGGGAATCATCTCATGGGACAATTCTTATTGTTAGGAAATTCATTGTTATACTGAACTGAAATCCTTTTATTCACACACACGCACACAATAGCTCTTTCTCATGGAACATGGCTGGCATGAAAATGTGCAAAGATGTATCCAGTTCTCTACAGTTTTACTGTTTCCTTTTTTCTGGGTTTCTTCCTGACAGAAGGATTATACCTCTCTCTGTTGAATTCAGATATGGTTGGGTGACTAGCTCTGGTTTACGGAAATTGAGAAGACATGTATCACTTCTGGGTAGAAGCTTTGAGAGCCAGCTGAAATGATCTCTTTGCCCTCTACCGTGCTAAGCTCCTGAGAGAGGCTATTGCATCTGTCTGAGTGCCAGAGGGAAGATGACATTGGGCCGAGCCCCAACCAAGCTCCGAGTGACCTGTAGTGCAAACAAGGTGACTTGAGTCATTTCAAGTTCTTGGAGTGACTGAAATATGAAGGTCAATGTTCATTATGTTAACAAAACACAAGCTAGCCCACTCCCAAGTTAATCTGGCTTTTCCCCTCTTTTAATCATTCTTCACAAATTATAATTTCAGCCTCTCACCCTTCTGACCAGTCCCCTGGATTCCACCCATTTTTGACACTGTTCCCCTTAAATGGGGAGCTCAAATCTGAACACCGTACCCCAGCTGAAATCCCAGTAGCCCACAACCAGCCTTTTGACCTGGGAACTCACTGAATAGCACCTAGAGTTGTTTTTTTGTGCTTGTTTCTTGGCGTATGCTTTTATTATCAGATGCGTTATGCTGTTAACTCACGTTGAGCTTGCGAACCCATAACTAGAGCTAAAGGCTTTTTCCAGTGATCTCTCAAAATTTACCTGGGGAACCGGTTTTTAGATCGTAGCTCAGGTAGACAGGACGGCATTTTACAACGGTTACATGATCTCTTTAAAACAAGTTAGCAGCAGAACCATTTACAGAAACCAGCTGTTCTGTCTTTTGGCTCCGACCATGCCGTAAATCTTCACCATCCCGTGCCCTGAGCGAAAGCTGCAAAAGTGCAGCACCGGCAGGTCTGGGAGCACCGTAGGTCGCTAAACCCAAGGAAAAGGCCATTTCCCGCGGGGCCCTGAAGGCGGGGCTTCACTTTCCCAGGCCGACGCGTTACGCTTCTTCACCCTTCCGCGGCGTGGTGACGGAAGGAGCTCCCAGCCCCCTCCCTCTCTGGCGCCGACACCCACTGAGCGGCCGCGGGCCTTTTTGGTGGGCGGGGCACACCCTAGGAACCCTCCTGGTTGGCCTGCGGCCCGGCGCGGCGCATGACGTGTTTCCGTGCGTCTCGTCGTGCTGCGGCTTAGGCGTGGCGTCCGCTCCGGGCGCCTGAAGGAGACTTGGAGTTTTTGGGGTCCCGCTGCTTGAGTCGCTGGGAGTCGTTGCCGCCGCCGCCGCCGCCGCCACTGCCGGCTATCCATGAGGAAGATGCTCGCCGCTGTCTCTCGCGTGTTGGGCATCGCCCAGAAGCCGGTGAGGCAGCGTGGGTAGGGTAGGGCGCGAGCGGGGTCGAGGCGGGGCCGGATCCCGGAGGACGCTGGAGGACGGCCCGGGTCTGGGGGCGCTTGGTGTGGCGCCGCCGAGGGTGCTGCGGAGCGGCCGGAGGGCCACGGGCCTTTTGTTTTGCCTTCGTGCCTGGCAGTACGCTCCCGGCCCCGGGACCAGCGGCTGCCCGGCCCTTCGGCAGCGAAGTGGGGGAGGGGAGCTCTACGAGGTCCGCGGGGAGGTCAGCCGTGGCTGCCGGCACCGGCTAAAGTAGGTGTGCTCCAGAAGTGTCTGTTCTTTTACTGCGGATAGAAAAGGGGGCCTTGGGCATCCCTGAGTCTCCAGTTGATCTTGCCCACTCATTTTAAATCTTCCTAGTTACATTCTTCTTGATTGAGAGGCTGTGTAGTATGTTAAGAGCGTGAAATCCCGAGACCAGTCGCGTTCAAACACCAGCCTCACCATTTACGAGCCCTGTAACCTTGGGCAGGTTTTTGTTTTTGTTTTAAATCTCCCGTGCTCGGTTTCCTTCTCTCTGAAGAGGAGATACTACGAGTGTTCATCTCGTGGGGTTGTCGTGAAGCTGAAACGCGTGACGCGTACGTTAACCTTTCCAAATAGTGCCGGGTCCATCTGTGTTCAGTGGTATTTCGGTGCCCAGTTGGGTATACATTTGTGGAACACCTGCCCCCAGCTCTGGAGGGTTAAGTCCGGGTCATGCTCACTAGAAACCACCTCCCCCTCGTTCCTCAACGTTGGGTTTTTCTTGGCAGTCACTTCAAGACCAGTCAGGCAGAACCTAGAGGAAACCGCCCTCCCCCTTAAACACACAGGCTTAGGGTAAAAGTAGCTAAAGAAAACAGCAGTGCTGCTTGGGAGGGTGGAAGGTTAGCACTATTTATGGCTCTAGCTTTTAGATGCGCCTAATGCCTTCAAGCATTTTGATCTCTTGGTGTGGGGAGGTAGTATTACTGGGTACAACTAGCAGCCAAGCTTGACTTGCGCTTCAAGTTCTAGTAACTCCCAGGGTTTTGGGGCAGTTCTGCCTAGAATGCGCAGAGATCATTGAAAAGTAGGAAGTATACTCTTCGGGGAACCCCTTTGACTGAAAAAACTACAAAACAATTTGGTTCATCCGTTACTAGCATTTAATTGCAACTAGATCCATCTGAAAGATAAGCGCATTTCAGTTTTATTTCTGTATATCACAAGATACATCCAGCCTTTCTTGAGCTCTTAATGTGTGCCAGGCTCTAGGCTATTTAATCTTCACATCTTCACTTTTTAGTTGAATGTAAGTAATGGAAACATGTTTTCAACTTTATGTGAGCGTCTTAGTTCTGAATCAGGTTAAATTTGAAGGGCTGCAGTAGAAAAGAAAAACTTCGATAGAATTGGTGGTGTTCTACAGTAGAAGAAAAACTGGTGTGTGCGTTTTCAAATTACTGTCACCCTGTGTCCCTAGGAACAGAGAGAAGTCATTAATACCAGAGGCTCATTTGCTCGGCTGCTCTACATGCTCTTGCTTGTGTTTTCCATTCTTCCAGCAGTGCATTGGCATGAAATGCAAATTGCACTTCATCACAGTAAAACTTTGGCCTCTTCAAAAGTCATATAATACCACCCAAATCAAATAGAAATGAATTTTGAGTTACAATAATTTGTTAACTGGATAAAAGCAAGAGTGGACTACAACTTCAGTTGTACTTTTTGTGGGATCTGAAGAATGTGCTTCAGGTCTCCATGGAAAGAAGTCATGTCAATTTACATATCAGTGTTTGAAAATGTGGCAGAATGTGGTTAAAATAATACAGTAATAGTAATTGCTTAAATGTATGTGGTCTAATCTGGACCTTAGCCATCACGTAGAGTACTTCTGTTGTAAGCAGATATATTCAGTTGAAAAAGCCGAAAAGAAACATTTCCCCGCTTTTTACCACCCAAGCAGTAACAGCCACGCAAACAGCAAGAATGGAGTGCTGGTTGCAGAGAACATCTCTCCCTCCTGAGGCTTGTATCTCATACTTTGAGTGGTTTAAAATATGTTTCTTGTGGAGCCATATACATAGGATAGTGGTTTACCTGAAATGGGAATTGGATCATAGTTTTATATGAAGAATCATTCTGAAAGTAAAGTTTTGGCTTGTTCATTGTCTGGTTATGACTGCAAATAGCAGAAATAAACAAAGCCCACAGGTTATCTAGTCTCTTCACTTTGGCCATTAACTTCATTCTGTTTTCACTGTAATTTCTTTGGAAACAAAATGGCCAAGGGGATGGGTTTGATTTTTGCCTCCTTTCTCTTTCTACTGTTAACTTCTGAAGTGGGTATGATCATGTTTCATTGGCCAGAGCATGGATTCATTTTAAAGGCAAGATCCCAACAAAGTAAAGAGAGTGGAGGATACACTCGTGAATATGTTGGGGCTTATGAAAAATCCAGGACTGCATCCTGATAACTGATAAATAATAAGAATGACTTTCAAAAATACCTGACAATAAAATGTGCTGATATATTTGTATATTTTGGTCTTTCAAGGCAAGCAGAGTGCTCGTGGCCTCCCGTAATTTTGCAAATGATGCTACATTTGAAATTAAGGTAAGAGGTGTTTTGCTTTGTGTTAGTAATTTTTCCACAGGTCCACAAGGCCTGCATCAGGCTCTCTGCTCAGTGGAGAGTCTGCTTCTTCCTTTCCTGCTGCTGCTGCTCCTCTTTGTGCTCACTTTCAAATAAATAAAATCTTAGAAAAAAAAGGTTTCTTTGGAAGTTTGTCTTTCAGCCTCTATAACTCATTTGACTCCCATGGATTGGGGCGGGGGGAGTCATCTTCGATTTCTTTCCTCTAAACTCGATCCTCTTGCAGAATGAGCTTTATGATTTAAGGAGTCAGAAGCAATGTGCGGCATTTTTTTTGTGCTCCTCTTCTGGTTTTTGAGTTAAATATTATCGCAGTGAGATAATAGATCTTATAGTGGGTTGTCCTTGTTTACATTGTAGTAACTGGAAGTTAACTGATTCCATTTCAGAAATGCGATCTTCACCGGCTGGAGGAGGGACCTCCTGTCACCACAGTGCTCACCAGGGAGGACGGGCTTAAGTACTACAGGATGATGCAGACGGTCCGCCGGATGGAGTTAAAGGCAGATCAGCTGTACAAGCAGAAGATTATTCGTGGTTTCTGTCACTTGTGTGATGGTCAGGTGAGTGGTGGTTTTGTAGTAAAACCATGTTAGATGTAGGAGTTTTAAGTATGGTTTGTAGTTACAATTGCAGTTAAGCATGGTTTGTAGTTTTTCACCCCGCCTTATGCATCTGAAGGATTTGAGGCCAGCCTGTCAGAACACAGACGAGCTTGCGAGGCCGGCTCCAAAGCTCATGCTGAGGAAATCACACACACATCCCGCTGCTGGTGTCCAGCGCCTTGATGGCTTTGTGATCACCTGTAGTGCATATGCTTGTGGGCGAAAGGGTTTTCCCTTTGTGTTTTGTTTTTCTGGTTTAGGCCAAGGGTTACAAATTCAAATGCCTGTGGGGACGAGCTGGGTGGAATAGATTAGTGAAGAAGGCGGGACTGCTCGTGGACTGTAGTGGGCAGGCCCCGCCCACCCGGAGACACCATCACTTAGTTCTAGCCAGGTGGTGTCATATGGAAATCTGGGGTTAATGCTTCCTGGTTTTGGTTCTTCAAGAGATAACAGAAGTTTCAATTTTATTTATTTTTCTTTATTTTTAAAAGATTTTATTTATTTGACAGAGCGCTCACAGGTAGGCAGAGAGGCAGGCAGCAGGGGTGGGGTGGGAAGCAGCCTCCCTGATGAGCAGAGAGCCCAATGCAGGGCTGGATCCCAGGACCCTGAGATCATGACCTGAGCAGAAGGCAGAGGCTTAACCCACTGAGCCACCCAGGCGCTCCAGTTTCAGTTTTCATATGAAATTCTCCCAGTATTGTTGACATCTTATTCAGGAATTTTTTTCCAAATCACTGTACCGGCTTGAAATAGTAAATCTGTGGATTTCCAGTTGGTAGCTTCTGGCTTAACTTTTCACTCTGTTCTGTTTCTGATGAAAAATGGAGCTCCTGGGGTGCCTGGATGGCTCAGTGGGTTAAGGCCTCTGCCTTCGGCTCGGGTTGTGGTCTCGGAGTCTTGGGATCAAGCCCCGTGTCAGGCTCTCTGCTCAGCGGGGAGCCTGCTCCCCGCCCCCCGCCCCACCTGCTTCTCTGCCTACTTGTGATCTGTCTGTCAAATTTAAAAATCTTTAAAAAAAAAATGGAGCTCCTGTTGTGGTTATTAAGAGTTCTACTGGGCCAAATTTTCATAATAGGCTAGGGATTTTTATCTAGAAATGTGTATGTTACTGACTCATTAACTGCTTTTTCCTTTAATGTAGGAAGCTTGTTGTGTGGGCCTGGAGGCTGGCATAAATCCTACAGACCATCTTATCACAGCCTATCGGGCTCATGGCTTTACCTTCACTCGTGGGCTTTCTGTCCGAGAAATTCTCGCAGAGCTTACAGGTTTGCTATTGATTTTCAAAAAGGGGAAATTAGTGAAATAAGTGCAGATTTCTCATATTAAGATGCTGTTACAGCTTAACATTAAAACCTTTTTGAGTATGAAATAAAAGCCGCTCTACCTTGTGGGGCTCTGATATATCTGTTGTGCTTTTTAGCAAACTATTTTTGAGGTCACCTGGCCCCTCAGGTGAATGTTTAGTAAGTCTAAAAATGTTAGCTTTATAAAATTAGAATACTGTTTGTCACTCAAGCACACCAGTAGAAATTAGCAGTCATAGAAAGAAAATTGAGAGTAGGAGCATTTCATTGTATGCAGTTTAAATTCTAGGAATCTTTTTACTATTCCCTTTGTTACCCCCCTTGATTCTTGAACTGTTCAGTGTACCAGTGCGGGAGAACTTGGAAGATGTAGCTGGCAAAAAAAAAAAAAAAAGTCCAGGGTACCGTGATGCTACCATCTAAAGGAAACTCAGTGGTTAGCGAGCTGGAAAACTCAAGGACATGGGACTGGATCGACCTTCCTGAAAGGACCAGGACATAAGGGTGGAATCTGTGTTTGCATAGAGGGAAGGGTGCTTATAGAATTGAATTAGCCTGTGAGTTCCAGTGGTTGAGCCTCTTAAGTAAATACTTGGGGTGTGGTTTTCCCTTGTATATTTGCGTTGATGTGTATGTGCACGTGCTGCCATTTTGTAGGACGAAGAGGAGGCTGTGCTAAAGGGAAAGGAGGATCGATGCACATGTACGCCAAGAACTTCTATGGGGGCAACGGCATCGTCGGAGCTCAGGTGATCCGCGCGGAGGACGAGGATTGCCCGCTTTCCTAGATTTGGCCCTGGACGATGTCTTAACGTGTCCTACCTGGGAGAGCTTCTCTTTCACATATTTTAGTACTTTGGGTGCTGGGTGTATTTTAAAGGACCTGTTGATTCAGAGCTTACCATTTGATCAGTTAATAATAGATTTGGACAGTGATTTAAAATTCTTCTTTTTAGGTAATTTTTAACGTTTTATACATAAGCAAGAACCCCTAGCAGTGGCCTATCCTGTCACCTTTTCGTTTATATTTAAGCACGTTAATTGCTTTGTTACATCCACTTAGCCCTTCCTCCCCCTGCTATAGACTGTGGGTGCAGGTATCTGAGGAGGAAAGGCAGGCGATCAGGATCTTAGGGGCCATGTCAGTAATCAGTCCAGCTTTTGTGGTCATACAGTCCATCCTCTTTGTTCTCCTCAGTTACTGAATAATGAAGTTACAGCCTGTAACTTCAGGCTGTGTGAGTGACGAATCACTAAATTCTCCTGAAACCAGCGGTAACGCTATGTGTTAACTAGAATTAAAAAAAAATTGCAAGGAAACGAAGAATGGCGTAAAATTATAAAATTGTTTGCCTTTGTAATGTGCTGCTGCTGTATGTTAAAAAAAAAAAAAAGACAGACCTAGGTTTCGTACTTTGGCTCTTCAGTAGTTGAATCTTTATAGACGTGTTACTGTTTAATGGTTAAGGTAGAATTATTCATGTTGCTGTACCAGTTTGATTGCAATACTGGCGGTAGGGTAGTTAGGGGTAGGGAGAGTGTGGGGAGTTTGTGATGACAGTGTCATCTCTTAAATTCTGGCTAGGGCTTAAAATTCGGAGCATTACTTTCTCCTCTCATGGATGTCTGTGGTTCTTTTCTTGGTTGTCCTCAATACTAGGTGCCCTTGGGAGCGGGGATTGCTCTGGCCTGTAAGTATAATGGAAAGGATGAGGTCTGTCTGACTTTATATGGCGACGGTGCTGCTAATCAGGTGAGTACGTATCTCTTGACTTGGCAGTAACCCTTGTAGTTTTGTTTCCAAACTATTGTGTAGTCCTAGTTCCATGGGTGGACAAGGAGTCTGTTGCTTAGCAGTTGAAGTAGCCGTTCAGGGCAGGCCAGAAGTGGGGTTTATGGCCACATTATAGGTTTTTATGGCCGCATTACAGGTTTCCTTTGTTGGCGTGTGGCACAAGCGCTTCGTGCCGGCTCCCCGCGCCGGCTCCCCGCGGAGGCGCTCTCCTCTGCCTCTGCCTCAGGGCTTCACAAACGGTCTGCGGGTGAAGGACCTTTTTACATTTTCACCCAGGGCAGACTAGCTGTTATGCCAGTCCTGTAATGTGCAGACCTCTCTTGGATGCCGTGGCATCATCAGACTCCTCTCGTGGTTTCTGAGCCTCGGCTCGTACTTTTCCTGTCACGCTCTGAGTCCTCACCAGGCCATGGACAACACTGAGGCCCTGCTCCGAAGGCGGGTTCTCAGACGGCTGCTCGCTCTTACCCAGTTACAGTAAAGCATAGCAGGAGGTAGCCACAAAGTTTTGCATGTTGGTCTCTTCCTAACATATTCTGTACCACTGCCTTGGCCCCACTGCTTGGCCCCACCAAAACAAGTGGTGGTGTTTGGTTTGTCACTTTGTTTGCAAAAAGAGATGATGCTTGTCATGTCTTCCCCACCCCCCATCACACACACACACTCCTTTGCCTTAAAAGCTCTGTTGTGGAAGGAGAAACTCTCCATTTTTGGGGAAAGCTTTCATGCTAGGGAGAGCAGCGGTTGTTGGGGATGACATAGTAGTCTAGAGAAAAATAGCCAGATAAAACCACTTGAACTTCTTATCCACACTTCCAGGGTCAGATATTTGAAGCTTACAACATGGCAGCTTTGTGGAAACTGCCGTGTATTTTCATCTGTGAGAATAACCGCTATGGAATGGGAACATCTGTTGAGAGAGCAGCGGCCAGCACGGACTACTACAAGAGAGGCGACTTCATCCCTGGGCTGAGGGTGAGGACACCTGGTGTGAGGCCAGGGCCACCCCTTTGTGGGTCCTTGACCGCCTCAGACAGATCGCAGAGTTCTCTGTTCTCAGCGCATGGACGGGTCCTGTAAAGTGAAAATGGTCTGATGCGTTTGGTTTATGCTTTGCCCTTTCCTGTGTCTGAACAGGTAGATGGAATGGACATCTTGTGTGTCCGGGAGGCAACAAGGTTTGCAGCTGCCTACTGTAGATCTGGAAAGGTAAGATTTTCTCTCAGGCCTCCGGGTCAGAGATTTCTGTTGACATTTACCTCAAAATTAAAAGAATGCCTCCCGTGTGTCTCTTACAGCTCATCAGGGGTGGCTGGCAATTGAGGTGTGTATAAGGTAGAAGCAGAGGCCAGCGAATTGGGTCCTTTAGTAAACACCATGGTCTTGGTAGCTCATCTCTTGGGAAGCATCCCTTGATGCCCGCATTTGGCGTGGCTCTCTCCTTTGAGCGCTCCTTCAGCATTATGCCTTGTGGTTTAATTCTGTGCCTCCGCCCTCCACTCCTCCTCCCCATTAATCATAAGCCCCTTGACTGAGCAGATTGGCGACCCTCACAGCGCTTAGCACAGAACTTTGCTTGGATGAGAAGCATTCAGTGTAAGCTTGTCTTCCTTAAGTTAAATATGAGGGTTAAAGTGTGTCATCTTAGTCTTGTTTTTTCAGTCCTGAGAATCTTGACCTTTCAGGTAAAGTAGTGGAGGGAGAGGACACAGTGAAGTTGGCTCAGGTACCATCAGAGCTAGTTCACTTGGCGTTCACAGCCTAGGAAGCACGTCCCTGGGGTTTACCTTTCCGAGACATGCCCTGTGTGGTAAGACTGGGCTAGCAGTGATGCATGTGGGGAGTGGGGGGTGGAGGAGGAAGGGAGATGGAGAGGGGTTGCACGCGAGGAGAATGGAATGAAACCGAGTATGTCGGAGGTGGCAGTGAGCTCAGGAATCTACACTGGGACTCCCCAGACTAGAGGGCTGGGGCTTGGGCAGTGAGTATCATTCCCGTCTTCCCCAGTTCCTGAAAGAACGTGCAGGGTACAGACGTACATGGAAACAAGATCACTGGTTTATTATTATAAATTTATTTCTGTGTTCATTCACAGCCTGATTTTGGAATTAGGGGAGCGTTTCGAAACCCCTTTAAGCCCAACCCTCTGTGTTTTCCAGTACCTCCTGGATGACAGAGAACAGAAAAAGAGGTAACAGTGAGGGATTGACAGGTGTCAGACGACACAGTAAGCACTTCTGTGTTAATCAGCACAGTCCTTGAGTTAGGTCCCCTCACCTATAAAAGAGTAACCTAAGGCACAGACCAGTTAAGGGTACGAAGTTACTATATGTGACAGCCTGGTTTGGATCCCAGGCACTTGGACTGAGAGCAGGGCCTCCCCGTCCCTCAACTACTACACCAAACTGCCCCAGGGATCCTAGATCTCCCCTCTCCCCTCAGTGTTCAAAGATGTCTTCTGGAAGACGGGGGTGGTATAACCAGAGGACGCAGTCTTGGTGGTCGGGCTGGCCGGCAGCATCACAGGGCTGCTACCCAGATGTTGTCAGTGAGAATCAACTTTGTCACACGCTAGCCAGACCTGTGCGGGAGGTTGGGGTGTTGGCCCCTCCGAGGGTACATGAGGTAGAGATTGACCTACCCAACCTAGCTTTAGTTCGCCTGTCCTGCACTTTCCAGCACACTTAGAGGTTTGCTTTTAGATGTATTCTGCGAGATTGTGTTAGTATTTTTCTCTAGCTTTTTAAGAAGGCTCCAAATGCTTGTAGATCATTTCCTCTGACTGAGGGGGAAAAAGTAGCTTTATTGATCTTGAAGATAAAAACTATGCCCTCCCTTGGTGACATACCTGCTTTCTAATAGGTTTTTCTGTATTAAATCTCAGCTGTTTTATAGGATTATTATTTATCAGAGGCAATGCTGAGGAAAATTTAAGATCAGTGAGCTCTGTAACATGCTGGATGCTTTTTTGATTTTTTTTTTTAAAGATTTTATTTATTTACCTGATAGAGATCACAGGTAGAGAGGCAGGCAGAGGGAGTGGGGAAAGCAGGCTTTCCGCTGAGCAGAGAGCCCAATTCGGGGCTTGATCCCAGGACCCTGAGATCATGACCTGAGCAGAAGGCAGAGGCTTAACCCACTGAGCCACCCAGGTGCCCCAGCCTTTTTGATTCTTAATGAGAAGGATGAAACATGGAATACATAGGTATTAGCTAAGAGGAAGTTCTTGACAACTCAGCCAACTGATAAAGAATCTGATAAGAGAACATCTTTGACTCTGGAAGGATGTGCTATGCCCATTGTCTCAGTCTCCACTGGGTTCTGTTTTAGGGGCCCATACTGATGGAGCTACAGACCTACCGTTATCACGGACACAGCATGAGCGACCCTGGCGTCAGGTATGGTCATGGGAAATCTGTGTGGGGTCCCGAGTGGGTGGGCCTCGCATGGTGCTACTCAGATGAAAAAGCAAAGCATTTCAGCATTTGCTTTGGAAGCCAGACACCAGGGGGCTTCATGCAGTGAAGTAGTTGGTGTTGATTAGTTGTTCGACTCTTTCCCTGGAAGCATTCTGAAAATCCCTAGAATCTGTAATCTGCACATGTTAACATGAGCAGCAATAAACTGCGAGAGGGGCACCTGGCCAGCTCGGGGTAGAGCACGGGCCTCTCGGATTTGTGAATTCAAGTCCCACGTTGGGGATAGACGTTGCTTTAAGAAACTGTAGAGAGAAATCGTTGCACAGAACAGGTTGATGGCATAGAGTATATATGTTTCGGGGCATGTAGCTTTTGTAGGCGTTATCCCACCATAGAGCCAGAATTTGAAAACCTGGCTGGTATGGGGCGAGGCCACCTGGCAACAAGGGGCATTCAGTAAGTTGAAATAGATCAGTCAAAACAGAGTCGGTTACACTAGGAAGATAGTTGAACTCGGCACTTAGTAACTCTGGAATGTAATGCTGCCGTCCCAGAGTGTGACAAATAGAAGAAGTGGATTTAGTCCGAGTAAGCCTGCCCTGTCAGGCCTGGGAGTAGACTGGAGTTCGAAGGGAAAATGTTTCAAAGAGCAACTTATGTGGAAAAATAACACTTGGTGTTTTCAGGAAAACAGAATCCTTCCTTTTAGTGTTACTTGAAATAACAGGTTTCAAAGATGTAGGACAGGGATGTACAGTTGAGCCTTGAACAACACAAGTTTGAACCACGCGGGTCCATCTTAGGGATTTTCAATAAAGACATTACTATTTGGTATTTTCTCTCACACTTCTGGCTTAAGAATACAGCGTATAACACATGTAACATACATAATGTCTATTAATTGTTATTAGTAAGTTGTTTTTCGGGACTCAAAGTGGTAGATTTTCAACTGTGTCCATGGCAGGGGTTGGCGCTCTGTTCAAGGGTCAGTTGTATTCTAGAATCAGAAATTAGAAAACCTACTGTCCCAAGTTTTCGCTGGCCCCACTTTTCTGGGCTCCTAACCGTGTCTCCTACTTGGCATTCTGTCACCTTCCAGTCTGCAGTTCTTGCCACCCACCTAAATGGCACATAATGCAGCTCTACCAGTTTCTTCATATCCTACATCTCGATGCGAGCAGCAGATACAAGCTTGAGCTCTGTTGTCAGAATGCCTGAGAAGCCCGAGGAATTGCCAGGGCAGAGTTTTCTATGAAAGATACTAGAATGTTAGAGGCAGCGTTCTTGTATTTTGGGAACATGATGGCATCATGTCCCCGGGGAGAGCTCTGTGGCAGAGACAACTGTTCTGACCTACTTGTTTGCCTTCTTGTAGTTACCGTACCCGAGAAGAGATTCAGGAAGTAAGAAGTAAGAGTGACCCTATCATGCTGCTCAAGGATAGAATGGTGAACAGCAATCTGGCCAGTGTTGAAGAATTAAAGGTAGGCTCAACCAGTGTTTCTGCACCCAGAAAGCTGCCGTTCCTGGGGGAGCTGCCTCGGTCAGTGGGAAAGGATGGATTGTGGTGTCAGCAGGATATGAAGCAGTCCTATTTGCTTAACCTTGAAACCCAGCAGCACAGTTCTGTGTTCCTAAAAATAGACTTCAGGTATCCATCAGTGTTCCCAGTGGGGCTCCATAATATTCCTGTGATCATTGCCGTTATAAACACTTCTTCAAAAATAGCAACTGTTAGTACTTCCAGGCCTAGAAGAGTTCTGGTTCCCTACTAGCAACAGGTTCCGAGTAGAACTAGTTGGTGTCCTAAGCGGTTGGTTATTTAAAAGCCTCTTGAACCATAATCTGATTTTTAGGAAATTGATGTTGAAGTGAGGAAGGAAATTGAGGATGCTGCCCAGTTTGCCACTGCTGATCCTGAACCACCTTTGGAAGAGCTAGGCTATCACATTTACAGCAGCGATCCGCCTTTTGAAGTTCGGGGTGCCAATCAGTGGATCAAGTTTAAGTCCATCAGTTAAGGGGCGAGCGTACGTGACGGACGGCTACACCTTCAGGGGGCTCTTGGGCTCCATCTGTAAGGGACTCTGTTCTCAACTTTGTTAAGGAAGAAAACCCCGGAAGAACAATGTAGGTTAAGATAGTAAGTGCATGTGTTTTGTACAGTGTTGCATTAAAAGCTGTTATTGCACACTTAAGTACTTAGTGTGAATGTTATGTAAGGTTATTTTAGATTTCAGATTTCCTTGAAATGGTTCTATTTCTTTTAATAACTGAAAAGCCTCTGCTAAATAATATACAACTAAGTCTAAAGCCATTCCTACCCTTGAGGGGCGCGGGAGCACTCCCTGGACCTTCTGCGCCTCCCCGAACAGCGAGCGCTCCGCTCCTCACCCTCAGCAGCATCGGGGCTGCAGCCGCGGCTCGGTGACCGTCCGCTCTCAAACACGTTATTTATTACCTCCAGGCAGGGGGCAGAAGGACAACTCCATTTTTACTTTTTCAAAGATTTTATTTTTAAGTTAGCTCTACACCCAGCTTGGGGCTCCAACTCATGACCCAGAGACCAAGAGTCACACGCTCCACTGACCGAGCCAGCTGGGTGCCCCAACGACACCATTTTTAAATAAGACCACTTCCTGATCATTTCAAAGGCCAAATAATTTAGTTTTCTTCATTTATACATTAAATACAAACCTATTTTCTTAATGGTTTTCTATTTACATTCATATCAAACATTAAATACAAGGCGTATTCTTAATTTTTATCTTAAGTACAATGCCAGTTTACAGTAAACTGTGGTCTAAAACAGTGATGCCCATCCCACCCTGTTACTTTAAACACCTGCTTCACCTTTCCAGTCAGTGCTATAGGGTGTACGGAGTTTTCCAGCACAGCTACGTGGAAATTTTAGAGAATTCTGTAATATTCTGGGATGTCAAAATTAGAGTTCATTCACTGTTCTCCCAATACATAAAGTTCTACTCACCTTTAAAACATGTTGATAAGAGGTTTAAAAAAACAATCCAAAGTCAGTAATTCTCTAAAACTTCAAGTTCTTAAATAATGAGGTTTTCCTTGTGTAAACTCCATGGAATTCATGTGTATGTTACCAACTTTTTAACAACAAAGATGTCCGCTCTCGGCGCCCTCTGTCCCCTGGCCTAGCCAACTGGTTCAGCCTCATCTTGGGAGGCCGGGGACCGCTGAGCCCTTCTTCGGTACTGGGAGACTGCTGTCCAGAGCCTGCAGAGGAGACCACCACTGGGAAAGAACCAAGAGTCTGCTTTAGAGTCGCAAGAAAAGAGAGGTTCAGAGCCATACCACCCAGTAGGAGCCCTTATGTCAAAAGCTACAGTGTACAATCCAAGACTTGTCTAGATAGCCAAAATGCGTTCCTGACTTAAATAGAGCTCTGTCCCCTTGTCTTTGGGCTCCAGTAGGAGTGACACATGGCCTCAGAGGCATGTACGGGAGGGCCGGGTGGCTGGGTGCAGGGCCGGCTGAGGAAAGAAGGGCTGGGGAGAGCTCGGAGGGCAGAGGACTGCTGCGAGGCGGGAGTTCTGGGGTTTCACGTTCCTCTGACTGGTATCCAGCTTTACCTGAACAAAACTCCAGAGCTAGAGGGGAAGTTGGGTAGCTGGTTTTCTGACTAAGCCCCAGATAAGAAAGGAAATTAATTTCATTGAGTGGGGAAAGTGAGCGCCACTTTGCTTTCTACTGATTTAAAAAGCACAATCACAGGAAAAAAAGTCATTTTCTATTACAGTGTTTTGAAGCCATTCTTACCGTAGCCGAAGGTGTCTTAGATCTTCCTTAGTGATGTCGTTAAGAATATCAGACAGGGTGTAGCCCTCTTCAACAATCTGTAACGTACACCAGATACAGAAGAGCTAAGCTGCTTTGTAATAACGGCATAGGAATGTTTTCTTTGTCGCACATTTACCTTCTCTATTGTACTCTCATCTGCTCCTTGCAGTTGTAACCAGTCTACGAGCTCTGGATCAGTTCTTTGCCCCTGAGACCCAGGAGGGGATGCTGGGTTCTCTGTAGTATCTGTGATGATGAGAAATTTGTTTTGTTGTATATTAATGTTTAACAGTAAAACTCTTCAAAAGTAACAAGTTGAATGGAATAAACTATTACACACAGCAGAAGCGTGATTTGAAAGGTTATGAATTAAACCTGTCTGAGCTGCTCTAATCCACGGTGTGCAGTTCCTGGATTCACTGTTCAGAGATTAAAGGGACCACAGGTAAGGGTAATGTTACTTGGGAACTGGACAGGCTCTGTGTCTACCACTTTTTTTTTTTTTTTTAAGATTTTATTTATTTGACACAGACAGTGAGAGCAGGAACACACAGGGAGAGTGGGGGAGGGAGAAGCAGGCTTTCCACCGAGCAGGGAGCCTGAAGTGGGGCTCGATCCCAGGACCCAGGGATCATGACCTGAGCCAAAGGCAGACACTTCACCACTGAGCCACCCAGGCTCTCCTATGTGTACTACTTTAAATGCTTATTCCAGTTTTTAAAATGCCTTTTATAAGAAGTCCCATCCTTAGCTACGCTGGAAATCAAATGAGGGCGTGGAATTCAGTACTGAGATGTGGTGTCCGCGCTCGCCCCTCCCACATCCCAAGAGGTGGCTGCCTGCGACTCTTTTTTAAGTGGCATGAAATGAATTAGGTTTACTGAGGTTTCATTTCTGCAGTCACCTTTTAGGTATGCAGTGCTGTGAACTTCGATGAGTCCTGTAACCATCTGGATGACACATTTCCATCGCCCCCAGAAGTTCTTGCAGCCTTTTACCGTCCCCCCCCCCCCCGCCCCGCCATTGTGATGCTTTCTGTCCCTCGAATTTTGCCTTGAACGGAGAATTGCGTCCGTATTCTGTAACGAGGGACTCGGTGTGTAGCCCTTTCAGTCGGCGTTCACGGAGCATAATGCATGTGTGATTCACGCACGTTTCTGAATGTGCCAGTTTTTCTGTTACTGAGGAGTATTCCAGAACATACAGTTATTCTCTAGTAAAGCAGTAACTGTGGCAAGGCTGACTAGAACATTAGCCACATTTCACGTGGTCTCACACACAAGTCCAAGCAAGTGAAAACTTACTCACCAGTAGGCCTGAACTGTAACTGAAGATGATACAGTTCTCGAGTTTTCTGCTCTAGGGTTTGCCGGAGAAGATTCTGGTACTCTCTCTCTTTCTGAACTAGGTGTTCTAAAAGTCTGGTTGAGGAAACAAGAAAGCCATTACTCAGAGCCTAGTGCCATTCAGTTCAGCTCAAACATAGGATGAACCTTAAGAGATTGGGGCAAAGAAAACCAAATCACACAATGCCAACAGTCTGGTTTCAGCCTATACCTGGGCCCCTCCCTTACGTTTCCTCCCCTTGAAAACAAAGACCAGCACTCAGGGCTCGGGCATATTTTGTCTCAAAACGGATCATGAACCAGATGACCTGAGGGTGACCAGTAAACTGCCAGGAGGAGCTGGTGCTGACAGCTTGGCTCCCTGAGTCTCATCAAGTCGCTGGAAGGCGCGCTCGGGCTCCTTCCCCCTCAGAGGGGGAAGCCAAGGAGCTGGCAGCCCGGCAGAAGGAGGACGCCAGCAGGGGGACTACACCTGCGGACACTGACGGAACCCGGGACTGCTAAGCGCTTCGCAGGCGCGGGTCTCCCACAGTCAGGACCGAGCCGGGGCCCCCAGGCACCACCGCCCCGGGGCGGGAGACACCACAGCAGCCGGCGTGTCCGTGAGCTAGGGCCCGGCGGCCGTGGAGGAAGGACGCGTGTGGCGGCCACCCGCGGCCGCTGCCGGCTGTTAGTCCTACTGAGAGCGGAAGGTGGCAGAGGGACCGGCAGCCGTGCCGGGGAAGAACCACTGAGCCTGCAGGTGACCGTTCATACACGGGCGGATTCGAAACCCTGCCGGGCAAAGTCCATCAACTTCTGCATTTGTCATACCTTAAAAGCTTTCAAAATTTTGCCCCCCTCTACCTTTTAGTTTAAACTCCATGTCTCTCAAAAATTAAAACAAACACTCTAGATCGCTCTCAAAAGAAAGGATTAGATCTGCCTAAGGTCCTGCTTCAGAGCTCGCCAGCGCGTACACAACGTTCCTTCCGCGACACGCACACCCGGCGCCGCGTCTCCCTGTTCCGTGTTCCGCAGCGCGAGCCGTGAGCGGGCCACAAGGCAGCCTCTGGAACCAGCACTGTCTAGTCTGCTCTGCCTGTGGGTTGGGTTTTCGTAAGTCCACCCAGGATGTGATTGCCCAGAGCAAATGACAATCCTTTCATTCATTTAACATTTTAACAACGCCTACTACGTGCCAGGAAGTGAATTAGAGAGACCAGCTCTCTTGGGGAGAGGGGGGACCCTCAGCAAGGCCACAGATTCCCTCACTGGCTCCGGTGATCGTCCCACCCCTGCCCACCTGTTGGTCTCCTGTCTGAGCTCGCCCAGCTGGAGGCTCAGGTGCTGGTGCTGGAGCTGCTGGGGCTGGGGGGCACCCGCCGAAGGGGGGCTGCTCCCTCTGATCGCCACAGGTGCCTGCCGGCCGGGCGGGTCTGCCTGGGGATAGTCCTCTTCTGCCTCGTCCATGTCCTTATCCACCCCTTCGGTCTCCGACACAGGCTCAAAGTGGGCCCGGAGCTCTGCCAGAGGATGGGAGAGAGAGGAGCACGGTTAGGCAAGGCCAGGGCACAGTGTCGCTTATGTCCGGCGCCAGCACACGAGACCGCTCGGAGGCCGGCCCGGCTGGTGTGGCGCTCCATCAGGGGACAGCTGGCGTTACCAATGGGGAGGACACGGCTTTGCTCCGTTCTCTGCGGTGAAAAGATGATCACCCCCAGCTTATAGAGGACCAAACGGAGGCTGATGTTAAATCATGCAAGGACAGTCTTTAAAAGGTACAACCAGGCTTCCTACCGGGCCTGGATTCTTCCTACTAAAGAAAGGCGCCTGCTTGGAGTGGGGCGCCTGCTTGGAGTGGGGCGTAATGAAGTCAAGGGGCCTAACAAGCTCCTGGGGGAAGCGGCGGGGACAGGGAGGGAGCCGAGTCCAGAGAGCAAGCAGCAGCGTCAACAGAAGCCGCTCTCAGAGCCTCCCTCCCAGGGATGAAGTCAGCACAGGAAAGCAGACCTGGGCCTTCCGTGGCTCTGACATTTCACAAATGAGAGTACAACCGCCTG